TCCCGCCGTAGCGGCCGAGGCTCTAGAGGCACCCCTGCTTGGTTGTGGTGGTCCATGTCCGGGTGGGTGTCTGTGCTCATGCTCTCAGGCACCCCAGTGTCAATCTCGTCCTCCTCTTTGCTGGTGAGGGCCACTTCGTTCTCATAGCAAAAGGAGTTTGCATTAGAGAGGATGTATTTCTTTTCCGCTAAGTCTCTGGCACTACAGATGGGTGTGTTGGGCACTTCGTATGTTTTGTGGAACCTCGAATAATCCACTTTGTAGTAGTTTTTCTCTTCAAAGAGTACGGGCTCGTAGCGGTGGCCCCAGAGGATTTCGTTTGCCAGATATGAGCTACGGCACTGGGTAGTCATGGCGGTAGCTTCCACCATGCCCTCTAATATTACTACAATTTCAAAGTCAGCGTTGTCCATGTCTTGTTTGCTCAAGTCATACAAAGGACTGTCTTCATCTATTTCATGTACTATTGTAATTGGGGAGACCAGGAATATGCGGTCTATCCCGCTGTCAAACCCTACATTGATGTCTATTTGATCCAAGGGGATGTACTCCCCTTCCGATGTGATCCTGGATTTGAGGAGCTGTGCTCGCACATGTGCCTCCACCAAGTGGCTTTTCCTCAGGTTTCCAACACGCCACATCAGGCACAGTTTTCCATCTCTCATGGCCACTACGGCATTGTGGCTGAAGACTAGAGTTTCATTTCTCTTTTTTGGCTTAGCCATCTTTGCCATGACAGCACCAATGATGAAGGCATCAATGATGCAGCCTACTATAGACTGGAAAACCACCATGAAAACTGCAATGGGGCACTCGTCTGTGACACACCTGAAGCCGTAGCCGATCGTGGTCTGGGTCTCAATGGAAAACAGAAAGGCTGCGGTGAAGCTGCTCACTTGAGAGACACAAGGTTTGTTATTTTCTTGATTCTCCAGATCTCCATGCAACAGCGCAATCAACCAAAACACACAGCCAAAAAAAAGCCATGAGAGGATGAATGCCAGGCAGAAGATAACTAGCATCCACCTCCAGCGGATGTCCACACAAGTGGTGAAGATGTCTGCCAGGTATCGCTGTCCCTTCTCACCCACGTTAATAAACTGGACGTTGCAGTGGCCATCTTTTTTGACAAAGCGGCTCCTGCATTGCTGTCTGGTATGTACCTTACTCTTTCCATTCCCGAAGCCGTTGGCAACGGCCATGGTTGCCAGCTTCATGCCGTCCTCTTCCGAAGACACAATGCTGTAGCGGTTGGTTCGCACGCTGCCCATCACTACTGCTGTGGACTGAGGTGCTTCTGCTTTAGAAAACAGTCTAAGTTTCTGCAAAACCCTTTGGAGAAACAGTTTTGAAAGTTCTAGAGGAACACACACACACAGAAAAACTGGGGAGAGGCTGGAGTCCCCAAAAGCCCTTGGATCAACCAAGGACAGTCTTCTGGCATGCAGATTTAGCTTAACAAGTAACCGTCATAGAGAGGGCATGGTCTGCAAGAGAAAGAGAAACGTCATATTAGATCTTGGAGGAAAAGGATAAGGAATCAAACCTGCATGAATCAAGTAAAATGACTCCTGTGGACCTGCAGGGAGTTTCCTTATTCTTAACGACAGCATTTTCTGGAATGCACAAGTTCTCCGAGCGCAGTTGTGTATTGACAGAAGTGACATCATTACTACAAAGAAGGCATCACTCCTCCTGAGTGAAAGCACTGAAGTGATCAGGTCACAAAAGTCTCTAAGCAATATTCACTTTAAAGCTGGACATGCGAAGAATCTATCTACTATTTACAACTGTGCTTTCTGTTTATTTTTTAAAAAAACAATTAGCTCTAACATCCATCTGTTCAAATATAAATATTGAAGCAGTTTTTAGTGGGATACAATGTGTCTCCTGGACTGTTTTACCTACGACAAACAAGGGAGTGTGCAAAAGGGAAGACAATGTGTACTGAGAAAAGCAATAAACTTGGAAAATGCAAATGTCAGTGATTTCCATGAAATTACATCGCACATAGCTTTTTTTTTTAAATTAAGCTAAAAAAAAAAAAAAAAAGGAGTTGCATATTCTCTGCAAAAGGCAGGAATAAAGGCTGCAGTAGTTCCTCCTTAACTCCATAAACTCATTGGGATCTGTGCAGTTTTTACACTCACATTAGGCTTAAGTTGTATGGAGCAAACTAAACCTTATAACGACCCTCATCTGCTCCTGCTAATGCAACCAGCAAAAGGCTACGATGGATTAGGACCGGCCGGGCATCTTCGTAACACCTTTGGTGGCAAGTACCAGCACCTTCCCCTCGGGAGCCCGAGGCAGCCAGTTCCATCTCCAACAGGTAACGGTTCTGAGTGTCCCATGGGTCTTAAATGTCAGCAAATAAGACTCAGCCGAGAGGCTACAAAACCTTCTTCCTGAGGGTAGAAGCCACCAAACTTGTTTCAGGGAGGTCTGGCTTAGACCCAGGTTTAGCTTTTAACAAGTGCGTCATCCATTAAGTCATGTACTGTATATCAGGAAATGTAACTGAAATACTGCAGAGGAGAAGAGATGCATTAATGCAACTGCTCCATCCACACATGCGCCCCATGGAGGAAATAAAACTAAAACCGAGTGATGAGGAATGTCTGCTGTCCATTTGTCATAGGAGAGCAGACTTCAGTACCATTTACAGTAGCGGGGGATTAAATCACAATGCTCTTTGTAAATTAATATTACCAAAACTCATCTGAGTTTGTCCAAAACCCAACAAAACTGCAGCCGCCAAGGAGCACGACCTCTGCCCACAAAGCGGCTTCAGTACTCCGTGGCTATTCCTCTGATTCGTATCTGACAACAGCTGTAGGTAAGAGTTTATCTCCTTTCCCAAAAGCAGCCCCTAAAGCCCTGCAGAGGTGTTCCAAAAACTTGAGGGATTTAAAACAGTTTCTCAGCCCTCCCACATCTTTCAACCGCATTACAAGGGCTTTAGGTCAGCAAACACTTGTTAGGAAAAGAGCAGGTGACAAACAGAAAACAGCATCATGCTCGCAGTTGCATGCAGGCTGGTTTTCCCTCCAGAATCTCTTTAGGGTTTCCTTTTACCTTCTCTTTCTTCCTCACTTCTGCTTGTTGTGCAAGAATGCGTCCCAACGCCTACTTGCCGAGATTAGTCATCTGTGACTTCAGCGGCGTACAAGACATTTTGGCAGCTTTTGATAGGTTCGGTAATGCCCGGTTTTGAGTATGGCTCTCAGCAATGTAGGCTTACAGGATGGTACAGCTGCCCTCTTACTTATCTGACTATCTTGCCTATACTGTGTAAGGATTCACTTTCCCCCCCACACACCCCTTTTTAATCACGGGGTTTCTAATTCCTGTCAGGATATCTTTCTCAAAAATACAAAGGAATTCTCTTAATGTTCACTTAAATTATTTTTTTTGGCTGAAAAACACTTTTATTAGAAACTTGAACACAGGGGGAAAGTGCAAATACTGTTAATACATTTCACACAAAATACTTATTGAAAAACCATTGCATTGGTCTGCAAATCGATCACTTTTATAAACCGCATCCTGCAATCACAGCCATGTTCAACTTCCCCATTCAAAGTCTGTTTTGTTCCAAGCTGATGGAAATACACAGCCTAGGAAATGCTTTATTTTGAAGTCTTTCTTTTTTTCTTTTTCCTGCATTGCCTCTTGGATTTTAGAGGAAAACTTGCGGTGGAGGGAAAGATAAGCTGTAAAGTCTCAAGTGTCTGAATATGCAGCTCCCCCCACAAAAGTCTTGACCCGAGGACATTTGTTTGAATTCCACAAATCACTGAAATGGCAACGCCAGCTTCCTGCAGCGAGCTGGCTGCATTTAGAAGTTTGGGACCCGAATTAGGTGTCGTACATTGTCATGCTCCTCCTCTGAATGGCTGAGCACCTTCCACCTACTGTACCTTGCACAGCCTTGCACCTTCATTCTGCCCTTGGGAGCGATCCTGCACCAATTTGGCTCCTTAAACTCGGAGGCGTGTGTGTGTGTGTGGTGTGTGTGGTGTGTGTGCCTGGGGGCACCCTGTGCTACCTTTACAGACTGATTGAAGTTTATACAACAAAGCTCTGGCACGCTCCACCGCAGCATAGTTGTCTTCTTTCTTTTACAGCACAAATTGCCTCTCTTCCTTGCTTGAGTGCTTGGAGTGGGGAGGATGCCGGGATGGGAGCGCAGCCAGCGCCGTGCGCAGGGACTGGCCAGAGCAACGCAGCGGGTCTGATCTTGCTCCTGCTCGTGGCAGCGCAGGCCCTGTAAAACGCCCAGTGATCCACTGGCTGCCCGATCACACACCTGATTGGTGTTCACCCTGACTTCCACAACTAGTTTCAGTAGAGGTTCCCCCCAAAATCCCAGAAACAATCAAACTAGCATGAAAATCGAATGGTACTTCTTATTTTGCTAATCCACCTGCTGCTCAAAGGTAAAACCAGTTTGCTGCCCCCCACCCCATTATCAGCTGTCGGTGGCACTGAAGATGCCAAGCTAGTGTGGGACCAGCCCTGCAATCCTCACCAGACAAAAGAAGCCAACCCAGTACCCACCAACCAACCCAAATCTTTGCATAATTGGGCCCAGCGCACTGCAGCCAGACACACACACATGCAGCTGTAAATTCAATCATCACTAGATGTGTTATTATTATTAATTCAGGCTGCCTTTCCTCCTGGAAGAGAATACAAGACTAGAGCAATGCAGCTTGTAATTACCAGCACTGGCACCAATGCAGCATTACCGGGAAGGGATGAGATGGGATGGGAGAGCCCTGGGCTTGCTCTGCTGCGAGGAGATGCTTGGAGGAGCAGAGAAAAACGGGGTTGTGCTGCATCTGCAGCATTTTTGAACCAATGTCTGTGGAAATGCCGCTATGAGGAGCCCAAACCCTCACTTTCCCCTTAGCAAGCATCCCCCTCAAGACCTCCCCCCAGGAAAGACGTTCACATCGCATGTCTGAACTCCACAACGAACAGCTCGAAAGGAACTGGTGCAGAAGGTTTAATACTGAGTAAAAACTCTGAAATGCAAAAAGAGCAGGGGGGTGGCGAGAGGAGCACTAACGAGCGCTTGGAGCAGTTATTCCCAGGCTGACGCCACTCAGCCCTGCAGAGTGAGCCGGGCACATGTTGCTAAGAGAGCACCAGCACTACCTTAGCCAAGCGCCTTCCCCTGCTGCCCTGGGTAAACAGAACAAAGGAGCTACCCGCACCAGCGAAGCCTGTTCCCACAGTCCCCACTCCCTCGCTGCTGGGCATGGCCACCCCCGTAACCTTCCTCCAGAACCCCGCGTTACTTAAAAGTCATTCCCCAGGGCTTCCCCGCTGATTTGGACAGGGCTCAAGTTACGCAAAGTGGTGAGCTGCCTTCAGGAGAAGGATCTGTCCTTTGCGATCAGGCGGTGTGGGGGGGGAAGACATAAAAAAAAAGAGCAGATGATGTAGGGAAATGGGTGCGAAGAAATAGGAGAAAGGGAAGGACAAGTGGTGTTTGCATCTGCTGTCCTGCAAAGGAGACGAGTTCAGGATATTTCTAGCTGATGACAAAATAACTACAAGTGAAATAGTCATCACCAGGGGGTGTACTTGATGCACCGGCTGTGAGGATGGAAAAGCAAACAAGTGTAAAGGTAAGGCTGAAACACAGAAACAAGTGCCGGCTGCCTGCGGGGTGGAAAGGTGGCAGCAGGCTGGGAGAGGACAGAGATGCGGGTCCTGGCTCAGCCCAGGCCACCGGCGCAGCCCCGGCACAGGCACCTGCGGGTCCCCGGCTGCCCCGGCCCCAGGAAGATGACAAAGCAGTTGCTGAACCCCCGCGAATAAATCTGCCATTTCTTATCAGTATTTTTTCCTTTAACTGTCATGAACTAAGTCGAAACAATACAGTCTCTTCACAGGCTCCCCAGCTGCAATGGGTTTTTTTTTTTTCAGTCTCTTCACAGGCTCCCCAGCTGCAATGTTTTTTTTTTTTTTCTTCCTATTTTTTTGGCAGGATGATTAAAAATAAAGAAAATCCTCCGTTTCCATAATGCCAATGAATGAAGTTACAGGTTCATTTCACGCCCCTCTAAAACATTTCGGACACTCCTTTCAAAAACACGCACCTGATCTCCAAGACTTGATACTTTTGACCTCTCGTACAGGAAACAACAGGCGAGAAGAATGGAAAGGGATGGAGCGGTGCTACTTCTGCGACACGGAGTTGTCATGCAAACTTCCAGCCCTTCCCCAGAATAAAATATCTCGGGGAAGGGGGGGAGCAGCTGGTGCATGGAAAGTTATGAACATAAACAGATGCTGCAAGCAGATGCTCGAGTGTTCCCAGCATACCTATCTAATTATTTTAGGCACTGAGAATAGCTCGTGGATGGTGCATGAGAAATGCAGGAGTTCCCTCTCCAAACGGCCACGCCGAAGCGTGCAACACGTTCACCGACAAGGAAAGCTGTATCTCGGGGATTTCGCGGCACGGTGCGTGCACCGGGCCAGCCACCGGCGCATCGCCCCTACCCCTGGAAACCAGGGTGGCACTTCGAGGCGACTGGGTGGGCGTCTCGAACAGATCTAGAAAGAAGGCGCTCCTTACCTGCCGGTGGCCTTAGAGGAGGTGCTTATAGAGTTAAAAGGGTGTAAGATCCAGCAGCTGGGGGGGACGCAGCAAGCCAATCCCAGGGTGCCCGCCGGCCGCCGCCGCACCGCTTGCAACTGAGCCACTCAATGAGCCGCTGCCCCTTTTTTGCGGGCTGCCATGTGATGTTTAATAGCGGCTCCGCCGTCCCCGCCC